CAGCTGGGAATACCACCTTCCTTCAAAAGAGTCCTCCCTATGAGATCATCCCCAGAGAAATGCTGCCGGCCAGAGAGGACGGCCACAGTGCTGTCCCCTGAACCAGCCGAGGAGGAAACCCCAGGACGTGGGCCAGAAGGCAAATGGCAGACAGACAAAAACGTACCTTGTTGTTGAGAGAGAAATGGACGGGGGGAGAGAGCTGGGGGGGGGAGGGGCAACACTGTGACCTAATACTACACAGCAGTGTTTTAAAGTGTTAGGTAGCTAGGTGTGGTGACACACTCCTGCAATCCCAGCACTGAGCTGAGGCGGGAAGATCTCAGGTTCAGCCCTGGGGACACAGCAAGACCCTGCACGCGTTTACGCAGCGTTGGTGTGCGTAAGGAGACATCACGCGTGAAAAAGAATGCGTGCAGCCTTGTGCGTGAAAACAGACAACGACAAACCAGATGCGTTGGCTGCTGCATGCTCACGGCCGGCGGGGGTCGGCGCAGGAAGAGAGATCTCTCCAGAGAAGGACCCGACCGCCGGCAGAGGTGAGGAGCTGGGGAGGGACCGGGGCCGGGGCTGGCGGAGGGGAGGGGGAGCAGAGGCCCGGGCCTGTCTCGTGTGTGTGTGTGTGTGTGTGTGTGTGTGAGACATTTTACCACATGCGCCCGTGCACAGGTATGCACACACAGACACAAAATCATCCTATTTGTTGTTGAGAAAGAGATGGAAAAATGGTGACCTAGAAAGGAATAGCACGGAGGCTCATGGATGGAGGCTCGAGGGTGGAGGCTCTCGGGTGGAGGCTCGAGGGTGGCCTCCACTACCAGACACGGGGAGGGAGGTCGGGCTGGGGAACGGGGCTGAGAGGTGGGCACAGTCTGGGGTGTGCAGACGCAGAGGGAAGCAAGCGGGTCACCGTGGCCCTCGAGTCAGGGGGAAGCTCCGCCACGCAGCCACGCGGGCAGAGGCAAGCCTGGAGCCCCCACGGGGCTCGGCCCCGTGCCCTGGGGAGGGTGGCGCCCAGGCACCATGCTGCTGCCTCCTGCTTTCCTAGATTCATCCGGAGGCGTGCTCGGCCCGGCCCGGCCCGGCTGGGAAGGAGGCTGCACTGTGGAGGGAGCGCATGGGGGCGGGAACGGCCCGGGACGCCTCCTCCCTCCGCCACGCTGCAAATGCTTCACAAAGCAAAAGGGGTGCGCGCCGCAGCTCCCGACTGTAAACCCAGCCACACGAGACCCGGACCACGGTTTCAGGAAAGAAAGGGAGAAGAGGGAGAAAAGGAAAAGGCCATGCGGACGCTGCTGAGCCTCCCCAGCCCTGCAGAAACGCTCCTGCCGGGCTGGGAAGGTGGCTCAGGGGTAGAGCGCTTGCCTTGCATGCATGGGGCCCTGGGTTCGATTCCTCAGCACCACATAAGCAGAAAACGCCAAACGTGGTGCTGTGGCTCAAGTGGTAGAGCGCTAGCCTTGAGCTGAAGAGCTGAGGGACAGTGCCCAGACCCAGAGTTCAGGCCCCATGACC